GCGGACCTCAGCAGCAAAGTATTACCATATCGTGTGTTATACTAAATGTTTTTCGTTGAAAATAATTCATGCGCTATACTTTTTTCGATTTCGCTGGACGATCGTGAGCAAAGTTGCGCTGCGAAAACTTTCCGCTTTGTCTTCAGTGGGTGGATTTCCCGACTTGCACTCATGTGTTCAATTTCATACGTATGCAAAATATGAACAGTTATATCAGCAAATTTTATTGTATTACAGAATTTCAGACTACAACAGAAGTACAATTTGTTTAACAGTCGACTGCTAATGAAAATGAATAGATTAAAAGTATTGCGTGAAAAGTACAGGGCCACCGAGGGTTTTGGTATTTCACAGACGCGAGTATTGCTGCCAAAACGGGGAGTGTTTGAGGATTTTTTAGGCTTCGGAATGTGTTCAGCAGGAGTTGTTTCCAAGGAGGGCAAAGTAGACGATGGTAAAAAAGGATAAGTAGTGCGGCAGTAATGACTGAAAATATCAAGTTAAATGTGGGTCCCTGAGCAGAAGCCGTTATGGCCTCGCACATGTAAAATGTACAATGTGAAAAGACTGGTAGTAGCGAGGTGTGATGCAATTTAAGTCGACCATTCCTCGAGAACTGTAATCCGTTTTTTAGTTTTCAGTTTCCATTCCGATCGACAGTTTCTTGGCTCGTCGCATTTGCTGTTGTAGTAACATGTGTACGACGCGCATGTCAACGAAGTACTCCTGGTCGTCTCTACAACGAAAATGATCTACGTTATAAAGCTATAATATGCAAATGTTACTCTGTTAGATTTAGTAGCCATTAAAACAATAAGTAAGTTTAAGTTAACAATTGTCACTTGCCTCTGTCGTATTTCTTGCATGAGTCCAAGCATTTCCCCCTCACTGGGTGATTTAACCGGTGATAGTATCTTGCGACCGCGCCTAACCGGCTTCTCCCACACTCGTAAGCTTTGCTGATCATCAATCCCAATTAAATGGTTCTGTTTTCCCTCAAATGGTGAAGAACCTTGCGATTGCGAAGACACTGACGATGTTGGCGACGACGAAACCGACGGTGCCGTTGATGACGGCAAAAAGAACGGAGATAAGTGAAAAAGCGGTGAGTGAGAGGCTGCCTGTCTTTCGTAACTGCT